GTACACTCACCCTTCCGACAATAATGGGGTCTAAGGTCTTTTCACCGCGTATGGTGCGCACACTTCTGCTTTGTCTTAGAGTCTTCCAAGTTAATTTAAGCACTAAACTATCTTACGCTTTGATATTCTTGTCTCGTTGCAGACAACTTTAATTTTTGAAGTAAAGTTTGTGGGCCAAATAAGGAAAAAGGAGATAGCTTTGTCTTGATGGGAAATTTCGTCTCAAGGACTGAAGACACGGCAAGTCCGCATGAATTCACACGGTATTGGACTTGCCTTGGCTGCTAAGACTTTACTATATATTTGCTTATATCACCAACCTTCCTTTGCATATTATCACTATCTTCGGTATTTCAAGAGCGAGCTGATCATTTTTGCTTGAGCTCCTCACTCTCTTCACTACTAATCATGGAAACAACTGCCCATTTTTCATCTCGTACGCTTAACCCTAATCGAATTCTCCCTGCCTTGTCGACGTGCCGGAAAACGCCCGTTAGAAAAATCATGGCTTCAACTAGAGGGACGAATAATGGAGGGGATCATTACCAAGGTAAGCTTGTAGATGAAAGCATGATTCAGCTACGAATGCGCATTAAAGAGATGAAGGTATTAGAGAAAAGTGATGAACTGCCTTCAAATTGGATGGAGTGGGAGAAGCAATACTTTTTGCACTATAATGAAGATATTTGTAAAGCAATTGGGTTGCTGCAAAATTACTTGTTGAATGTTAGACCAAGTTTAGCACTAGGGATGATAGCGCTCCTTATGGTTAGTGTGCCTACATCCACTGCGGTTCTTTTGTTTCAAGGTTTAGAAATAGCTAAGGGAATATTATCTCGATTCTAGTTTTAGCTAATTTCTGTTGTTTTCATGTTTGGGAAGGCTAAAATACTTTAAAAGCTTATGAACTATTTCCACAGAAAAAAGAAAAAACTAACTAAATAAGCTTTCAGGCTTAATTTTTATTTTTCAAAGGGCTTTGTGAGACTAAATTCAGCCCTTGAAATGTTATTTTAGCCCATAGAAGCTCCCCTTGTGGATGGATACTGGTCTCATGAGTCATCTGACGAAAACATCTGTTATCTCCAAGGACAGCATAACACAAATTGGACAGTTGCTCAGAGATTGGGAAAGCATAGAAGCTTGGCAGGTTTTGTCTCTTCGATTTTGAACGCCTAATGAAGAAGTGCTGATCCAAGAAATTTGTACCCCAAGAAAAAAGAAGTTTCTGTATTTTGGAACTTGTCCCAAGTTTCTGTATTTTGAAGTTGTTTGTCTTCACCGTAAAACACTCTCCTTAGCCCCTTCATTCTCAGGCTAAGATTCTTGTATCATGAAAAGTGTGGTTACTACTTGATTTCATAGCAGTTTTTCTGGGTTTCACTTTAGATTTTTGAAAGCAATAAGCTTGTAAGTAATTCAAAAATAACTTTATATTAGTCTTCAAAAGGTCAAAGTTCAGTTTGTAGTACAGTGTTTTTGTGCACAGGTTTATTGATTAAATTTCTCGTGTTATTATTTTGCTACTTATTTAAAGTTATATAGATATTTAATCAATTTATAAACTTTATTTTTTTATCAGGAACACATCTCTTAGATTGTGTTGTATAAATTTATTCTCCTAAATCACCATTTTGAAAAGTTATTTTAACATTTATTTGATAAATAACGAGTTTGTAAATCAAAGCTAAGATAAATAAAACACTAATAGATTAAATTCTTATTACATGAGCAAAAGTATCAAAATAATCAATATTTTATTTTTGAGTAAAACTCATAACAACTAATCTAACTTTATATTTATTAATAGAACCATCGGAATTAAATTTTCTTTTAAAAATCTATTTATAACCAATTGGTTTAGCTTCAAGTGATAAATCAACTAATTTTTAAGTTTGATTTTATAATATAAAATTAATCTCATTTTGTATAGCTTATTTTCAAAATGTACTTTTTATAGAAGAAATTGCATCAACATAAGTTAAAACATCATTATTTACAAGTGTAAAAATCATTACCAAAAGAAATTTCTTTCTTTGGTCTTTTACTCCTTCTCAAATCATCATTTTGTATTTCAAAATCATTTTTACTAAAATGTGCATGAAAAATTGTATCAGTTATTAATGAAAAAATATGTTCAAAAAATTCAACATTTCAACAATTATATTTTTATCAAGAATATCACTTTTTAATACAAGAAATCTATATTCAACATTATGTTAAACATAACCAACAAACATACGATCAAATGTCTTAGAGTTAATTTTTCTTTTCTTAAAATTAGCAAGTATAATCTTAGCAAGACAACTCCACACTCTTAAATATTTTAAGCGAAGAGAATAATCTTTCCACAATTTATAAGGTGTTTTACTAGTAGGGAATTCTATTTTGAATATGACATACAGATAATATAGTTTCACCTCACAAATTTTCATGTGCATTAAAACTAACAAGTATAGAGTTCATCCTTTCTTTTAATGTTCTATTTTTCCTTTCAGCTACACTATTTGATTCAGGAGAATATGGAAGAGTAATTTTATTAATTATTCTTAGTAGATATTCACCCCCTTTATCTATTCTAACTTTTTTTATCTTTTTATTCAGTTAATTTTCTATCTTAGCTTTATACGTAAGAAACATGTCAAAAACTTCATCTTTATACCAAAGTAAATAAACTTTAGTAAATCTAGAGTAATCGTCAATAAATGTAACATAATATTGCTTATCACCTCTAGTCATAGTTTGTTTCAAATCTCCCAAATCAATATGAATTAAACTTAACAACTCAGATTCTTTATTTACTGAAGTACAAGTTTTCTTAGTCAATTTTGTTTCAACACATGTTGCACATTTATTAAAGCATGTATTTTTAATACTAAAAATTAACCTAGTGATTGCATTTTCTTAATATAAAGAAATTAAATCTAGTAATTGACATAAATCAATAGAGTCAATCATGTAAGCCAAGCATTTTCATTCATAACAATATCAATGTTAAGTGCAAAAGCCCTTGATCATTACAATATCTCTTACCCCATGAATACATTATTTTTTGTCATTATGATCTTATCATATTCGAATCACATTTTCACCCTTGTCTAATAAAGTCATAAAAACTAGGTTCACCCTTATATTAGGAACGTGTAGAACATCATTCAAAGCTATGGTCTTATTAGATGTGGGCTTGAAAAGGATTTTTTCTTTACCAAGAACTTGAGTAGTTGGAGAATCACTAAAATATATTATCTCTTCTCATTCCCTTTTTGGAGTATAGAAGGTAAATGTATTTTTATTTGTACAAATATGCCTAATAGCACCTGAGTCTACCACCCAGTCTTTAACACTAGCCACAATATTGGCTTGAGAAATGATCAAATCAATTATATCATTTGATTCATCTGCTTTAACTAAGTTGACTCTTTGATTAATAGGTTTTTAATTTCCCATTACTCTCTTCTTGCATTGTGATGCATGATGCCTTGGCTTTCTTAAAACTAGTACCCTTCTTTTTGAAAGTGAGATGAGTAGTTTTAGGTTTATAATCAAGTTTTTTATTATCGTACCTTTGTTAATGATAATGGATTCTATCTTGCACTAGATTGATAGCGTTTACAATAGTGGTAATGATGGTGGTAGTGGTGACAACAGCAATAGTATTATCGACGTGAGAATCCATTATATTCTTAAAATTGTTGGAAACGTGAAGAAGCACAAAAATAATTCAGGAAAGTCTGAGACGTGGAATATTGTCTTTAAGGATAATTTTTATCCTTTTAGAGTATTAAATTCGATGCAAAAGAATTGTAACGATTATCCCTTAGAATTTAACGAACTTTTCCTTATTAGTTTGCACAAACTATTAGGGATACTAAGAACAGTAGAAAATATAAATGAGAAAGGACCTAGTAAGACCAAGCAGGAATAGTGGAGAAAAGGAAAATAAAGGAAGCAGAAAACAGAGAGAAGGAAGAACTGAGAGGTGTGTTGTGAACTGAGGCAAAGGTTGGCATTTATAGGTTGAGAATTGAAGTTAACGTTGCACAAAATTAGGGGATTTGATGTTAAAATCAGATAGTTATGAAACTTCGTCAACTTGTAACGTTAAAGAGTTTGAGATTGTTTCAAATACTTAGTAAAAATGAATGAGTCAAAGGCTGAGGTAAAAAATGTTTGAGACTGTTTCAACTATTTTAGTAAAAAGGAATGAGTTAAAGGCTAAGGTAAAAAATAAATAAAACTAAGGTACAAAAGTTTACTTAGGCCTAACACACGTGTGTACTCGCATGCATAGGAAAAGTATACATTTTCTCAAGGCTTACCTTGATTTTATGTGTGCATGAGTCTACTTTTCTCTCTTTTGTACAACAAACCAATAGTGAGTTTGCTTATTTAAAACACTCACCTTTTTTAAACCTTGGCAATATGAGATATTGAAACATTATGAAATACTACTATATGTCCAACAGAAAATGGACTCCATATCACCACAAGTTTTACTGACTACTAATATAAGGAAATTTGACATGAGGCAAAAGCAACCAGAAAATATCACAGCATAATAGGTTGAATTTTTATGAGAAAGGTTGATGAAAATTTTACACAAACTAATCATCGACCATAACAAAACAAATCAAGATCTAAAAATTCTACCAGTACCAATTCAATTATGGGTTATATTGATTCATAATTAAGTTCAAATTTTCTAAAATTTTAGTTTTATTACAAAGCAGAAGAAACATATAGCTCTGATATTGCATGATAACCCATACTCAGATATGTTTAAATAAACAAATCATGTAGCACTGAAAATAAATATGAATCGATACTAACCTCCAGCCATAGGAATACTAAAATAATAAACTCCTTCTATGAGATCTTTTGACCCAACGCAATTCTCAATTATGGATACAAGGCTAATGAATTGCTGTGTCAAACAACCCATAAGATATCTATTTATAAACTTCCTCTGATCAAGGAAATCTCAAATCTCTCAAAACTTAAAGGAAATTTTTCTCTAGAATTTGAAATAGATTTTATTTGTACCATTTAAACTAATGTTATCACTTACTTAAATATAGGTGATAAATATTTAGTTAAAAATAGCAAATACATGATAAGAACCGTAATTGAATTTTAAATTTAAATTAAATCTAAAATTTCAACATTATGATCTACTTTTTGTGCCCATATGTCGAGTTTCCTCCTATGAGTAGTGTCTTGTTGAGTCTCAGTGTTTTATGATTTAAGGAAAGCGAGAATAGCTAGGATCTCATATAAATACTAGTGGAGTTGATGCTGCAATGTGCCACTTAAGAATAGGGTCACGTTGAGTTAGATATTCTATCATGTTATTCGATTGAGATTATGACCAAATATGGGACAAAAGGAATTGTAAATAGCTGGGCTCTCATATTAATGCTATTTTTTTTTTGAGCTGATTGCTTCAATGCTCTACTTGAAAACAAGGATCTAGTGTTCTGGGTATTTGTTTTCAAATGACTTTTGTATAGGGTTTTCAATGGGTAGGGTACCCATTAATTTTGAGGTACCCGAACCTTACTCTTATAAGAAATAAAGTACCCGAACCCTATTAACTATCTGAATATTTTTTAAAATTACTACCCTAAACCTAATACATTCCCATTATCTTATAATTACTCTAACCCGTTTAAAAACTCAATTATGTAAAAAAATTATTAAAATGCTATTCATGGATATCCAATTACCCAAAGATGAATTCATACCTATATCCATATACAATAATATTTCTCCTACATTTTCATATAATTTACTAATAATTAAATTAATAAAAATACATAAACAATAAAATTAAATTTAAATAATTAAAAATAAATATTTCAAACATAATTAATAATTTTATAAGTTATAATTTTTGTAATATTAACACAAAATAAAAAAAATATGTTTATATTTAAAGCGCATATATACTCAAAGTATTTTAATATATATATACAATAGTAATTATATTTCTTATAAATGAACCCAATGTATATAAAGTATATATATTAAACGACATTACAAGTTAATAATCATAGTTTTATTAATTAATTTAATTAACTATATGAGTTTGTCCTTAATTACATGAAATTAAAGAAAATAACTATGTTTCAAATCTCACAACTTTCCTTTAGATTTATATATTATAAATTTATATATAT